CAAGAAAGAATGGGTTACGGAGATTACGATCGTGAATACTACTTCGAAATTTTAACTTATTATACAAATATAAAGGTTCACCAGATACTAATATTTTGTGAACCAGACATGCAAGATGTAAATGACGTCTTTCGCCCATGTTCAAAATTTTATGTGCTTGATAAATATGGGAAATATGTTCATATTTCTTAATGTTAAACGCATACCTGACGCAAGAGTTTTGGATTTTTTGCAGGCGAGTCTTATTTGCACTAGTTAGACACGGACCATAGACAGTGTCACAATAATCTAAAGTTGACAGTATTAAAGAATCTACAAGCTGCCACTTGACCTTTGGTGGAAGAACGTATTTGAAACGATATATACATTTAAGCTTTGCGTAAGCAATTTGAATCAGTTTATTGACGTGGAGGGAAAAGTTTAAGTGACAATCCACTGCTACTCCTAAACTACGAGATTCCCTAACTAATTGAAGCGGGGAATCTTTCAGATATAATTTTTGGTCCACATCTTCCCACAATGCAGTAACAGATTTTGGTGTTCCCAATAGCATCAGAGAAGATTTAGAAGGATTTATCTTTAGGGAATGTTTCTCAGACCATCTCTCGAACCGATTTAACTGCTCATTCAAGTTTCTCAGAGAGTAATTTAGATTGTTTCGATGGACAGGATAGATTAAGTATGTATCGTCCGCGTAACTGTGGATGTAGGAACCGTTTAAAGACGTATCCATATCGAAAACATATAAACAGAAAAGAAGCGGTCCAAGGATAGATCCTTGCGGAACCCCCATATTAACAGGTAAAAAGTTAGAATCACTGTAGCTTCCATCCCTCAAAGTTCTAACCATCTGCATTCGATTTTGTAAGTAGCTTTTAAACCAATTAGTAGCGGTAGAAGAAAGTCCAAGATAATGCAACTTGGCTACCAAAAGTTCATGGTTAATACAGTCAAATGCTTTGGAAAAATCGATTGAGAGCATCACAGATACTTGAGAGCGATCGGTTGCTGCTAGGACTTCGTCCACTATATCAATTAGAGTGGTCGCAGTAGAGTGATGGCTGCGGAAACCAGATTGATGTAACGGTAATATGTGATTTGCACGTATATAAGCGGACAATTGTACATATATAATCTTCTCAGTTACTTTAGATAACACAGTTAGGATACTAATGGGTCTTAAATGAGACAGGTTTTCAGGCGGATACTTTTTACAGATAGGGTGAACAATTGCAAGTTTCCAGAGGGAGGGGAAAGTGACAATTTTTAAAGACGTGTTAATTATGTCAGTAATAGCTCTACAACAGAAAGGCAGACAAATCCGAAGCATAGTTAACGAAATTGAATCAACACCCATTGCATTACATTTCAAACTATAGACAGTGTTATTCACATCCGTATCTGTGACAGTAGAAAAAAGTTTGAGTAGTAGAGTTGTGAACGTTGTTTAAGTAAAAGTCAAGAGTGTCCGTATCAGTGACTGCAGGTGGGGTTGAAATGAAGTGTTGGTTGATTAGATTTGGGTCAGACAGTTCAACAGGTATATCATCTGAGCATCGTTTTGAATGAACGTCTAACTCTTTTAAGACGCTCCAAAGTTTAATGGATTGTATAGAGCAATAATTTTATCGAAACGGTTTTGCTGAGGTGAGTGGTTGGTAGGTCCATCGAAGACCAGTAAGTAGGCCATCAATAACTGGACTCCATTCATTGACTCCGTCTACCAGTGGAGGCCAGTCCTTTCGAAAAATGTCGCGCCAGTCCAGGAGGCCGGGAGGCGCACCCGCCACTCAAAGGAGGACTGGTACCAGTCGACTGCATCGCGTAAACTGAACCTTGCCGTGCCACTTGGGGCGACAGAATCTACGTTAGTTTAGTGCACTACTGCGTAACAATGGCACCTCAAAAGTGAGATACGGAAGGGAGTCGAATAGTAATCGGTGTTCAGTCCAGGATTTTGATCGGGCGAACCCGGATTACTTTCTCTTCCCTAGTTTTTTTAATTTCCCTTGCCTTTGTATATGTGGTGCTTTTTCTTCCTCACCACAACTCGTACATAACAGGCTGTTCCATTTGTGCAGGTGTTGTTCAAATGAGACTGACCTCTGACCATTTCAATCACGAGTTTTATCTTCATCCTACTTTTCTTCGAGATGGACAATACTAAGCCCTCTTTTGGAGTTTCCAGAAAGATCTTGGAATGGTTCTGTCCTGGAATTTTTGACCAATGTCTGCAGTGTTTCTTTCGTTTTGTCTCTTTTTTGACTGTGGTCCATAGGCCGGTTCGGGTCCTATGAACGGTATCGCGCTTGGCACTTTCGCAAGGTCATCTTCAACTGGGTTGCCTGCGAATCCCACGTGCCCAGGTGACTGTGTTACATCTTCCTAGTGCGTGTTTCTGTTTGGTAAGGTCCTCTTGTAATAGTTGAGTACCTGCCGTCAGGATGGCACATATATCGGCTTGGGGCACGTTTACTTTTTGCCTTAAGCTGGCAGATTCCTGTCAGTTGCTTCTGTACACTCCACAGCCAGTGTCCACCGTAGTTTTTGTTAGTAGATGGGTGGTCAGGTTGCCTAGAGCGTCCTGGTTCTCGCTTTATCTTTTTTAGCTTTCGGCGCGCTGTTCCGAAGATTTTTTGAGACTCTCCAGTAGCAGGTGCTCCGGAAGTAGTTTTTTTTCTTGGTCCATATACATACCAAAACTCTATAACGCCCTTATAATAATAATTTGGGTTAAGATACTTAAAAAAAATTTTTTTCGAGGAATCCTATGGATTTAATATAATATGTCCCTTTGTCACCTTTTACCTCCAACGGGGCTTTGATTTAATTATGTGTCTAATAATCGTACTCATAAAGCACTATTACATTGGTAAACTCAAATGAGGTTCACTAACTGAAAATCTGATAATTCTGACTATAAATAGCAATCCAATTTATTCAAAAAATTACAGAAGCTTCCCCACTTAAGTTTTGTTAAAATATACATAAAAAATAGGAATCTTAATTTTCGGCTTGAATTTTGTTACACATCAGTGTGTGATTTACGGTTTATTTATTTTTTGTAATAACGTCATAGAGATCCAGAGATTCCTGCGTGATGAATAAATTACCCTAGGGCAAGGTCAGCGGTATTTGGTACCTGCAGCTCCTTTTCAAGACATGGGCAAACTCCAACAGTGCGAACAGTGGAAGAAAATACGACTCGTCTCAGGTTAAATATGTTTTCATTTATTCATTCAGCGCGCTCAGAACAAAAATCTAGGTTTACAAGTTCTAAGTGGGCGGACATAACGACTCATTTGCCGTATAGTGTTACAATTTTGTTTAAATGGAAGAAATGTGCATATTTTGAGTCGGAATTGGTCATAGCCTTATACATATCAAAATCAAGTGACCAATCCTTGTGCAGATAAAGCGCCTTTTTTTTAAACCTAACGACCTTATTAAAGTTTTGACCACTACCTAGAGGCAAACGTTTGAAACAAATTGGTAGTATCATGCATCTTGGTAAATCATTAATAACACTCGTTCAAGCGTATGCTGTTTCATTTTCCTTAGGAAAATTCTCCGCAATATTGCAGTTTCTCTTTGTAAGTACCCTCCTTTGAAACTCCTTTTCAAGACACTTCCACTTAAGTTCTCCCATCACCAGTACACACGTTTCGTCCAGAAACTCCAATCGCTCTTTGTGAGTACCTCCGTGGACACCCCGTTTTAGAGATATTCGCAGTTTTGACATTAAATATGCGGTTACCCTCCTACAACACTCCGTTTTGGAGATATTATTTTGACAAACTGTTTTGTACTGTTTTGGGGCGCAAATTAATAGGTTTGTTGGTTTTCCACACGAAACTGGCGCATAAATAAACATTATTTTTCCATATTAGGTTTTAGCTTACATGAATCAGGTAGTTATTAGTTGATGTCTAAAATTAACAATATAACTTGATTTGTTGCACCGAAGGCGTGTTAACGCAAAGCTTGTTCTCTTTACTTTGGGAAGCCACTGATGCACTGTATGAGGATTACAGAGTTTCTCAATTTTGTATCCTCAGTATAAATAGCATAGAGCATAGGTATTATGGCTTGAATAACTCTACAAACAATGGAATATTTCAAGACACTTTGTCTAGATGTTACCTCACAAACAGTGCAACTTGCGTTTGGGAAAATTTACCCACAAAATGTATGACGGTCGCAACAGAATTACCACCTCTATTACAATTCCTCTTAGGAATAACTTCTCAACCTTCTGCGTTCATTCAAAGTAATAATCTTATTACTGCAATTAAAATACAATAGAGTGCTTTAAACAGAAATTAACCTTCTGTTGTGAGGAAATACTGTACTTGACCCGACATATCTGCCTTCAAATGCTAGATGATGTTCGGTACAATTTTACGAATTACTTTCTATTGTGTATCTCTTTATGAAAAATTATCATAAAATAATGAAACGAACTAGTAGAACGGTTAGGTTATAAAAATAACCAATTACTTAAATTCTGCTAGGCAAGGTAGAATTATTACACAAGTGCAAAATTACTGTATGAGCTTGTTTCAATTTTTCTGAGTAGGTACTTGAGTTTCAAAGAGCTGAAAAATGGAAACATGGTGACTTTCTTGAAATGAAAATTAAAATCAAAAGGGGCTTTTCCATAGACACTCAAACACAAAATTAGATTTAAAATTCAAAAATGACCTTTAGATGCAAATTTTCACACCTGGTACCCAAAATGGCAAATAGTAACCCTAAAATAACTAAGTGATCTCTAGTAATTCGACCAATTCTAATATCGGAAAACCTTTTTTTGAGTTTTGGAAAGAAGCAACAATCTGGAAAAATCGATATGATGCTGTTTCAGTCTCCTGATACAAAACCAATACCGAAAAAGGCGATTTAGGTTGACAAAATGTATTGAATAACATTGAAGAAACTAGTTTTAAATGATAACGCGGAATTTTGAATTTATTTGTTATCAGTAGAGTCGTGTCCGCGTTTCGGAGTGGGTTGTATCGATATCGTACTGTTCGATCAGACTAACTAACTAAGTTTAATTAACTGCAGTGATTTCAACTAATATTTAATTGGTAAGTGCGTATTGGACGGCAAAGGACAAGGTTTAGAAATGGAAACTTACTTTTTAAAAATTCTAAGGCGAACTTTTGTATATTACCGTATGCTTGATGAAAAATGGAGCCGATGAAAACCCCAAAAGATCTGGTAAGCAATTTTGTTTCATATGTGTACCGGAATTTTTACGGGAATTGCAAACTGGTCAAAATTAACAGGATACCACCTGACATGGCTTGATATTGATAATTAAACTTAAAAGACGTTTAGAAAACACAGGTTCAGATTATTTTAAGACGGCGCATTGTTTTTGTAAAGAAAGTAAATGGAAAGGGAAAAGGTTTTAAATAAGCGGACCGGGCGTTAAAGACGCCTTTTGTTTGTCAAGCGTTTGTTTTAGTGGTGACGTGAATAGACTTTTTTTGGACGTTGAAACGTAGCCGTATTTGAGCGTAATTGTTTTCAAAACAGTCCGTTTTGTCGGAATCGATTTAAGAGACAGTCGGTCTTGTAGTGTGTAGTATAATAAGAGATATATCTAATATGAACATTACAAGTCAAGTTAAGCGGAAGCCTGTTTCCCAGAATCCGTCAAATGGCGTTTTGGCTACCATCAAAGTACTCATACTATAAATTGTAGTTACAACGACCTTATAGTGTCGTTTAAATCGAATTTGAACGCAATTGAAGAAGTGAAGTTCCGAACTGTGCCTGTTTGCTTGGAAATCACACTTACGACCGGAGATTTCATTGACACTTTAAGGTAATTAAGTTTTTCTTTAATTAAATGTCTACCGATGGTATGTTTAATCTGGCCCTAAGTGACTGTTTTTTTTATAGTAAATAAATTTGTTTAATTTGTAAATGATTGGTTTTGTGATTAATCGAGCCCAAATTACGACCTAGATAAGAGTTTTTTTAGTGTGACTCAGAGGAGTTTGGTGTAATTCAAATGTGTGTAGTAGGATTCTTTAGAATTGTGTAGAAGCGGTCGGAGTTTTCTCATATTACCTATTAAATTAAAGTCTTTATCCATAATATTGTTATAGCCGGAAGGGCCTTGGAAAATTTAATCAAAATTGTCATATGCGGTATTTAATTGAGCTAGTTGGACCGTTTGCTATTGCAAATAGCAATATGTTTACACTAAGTGTATATGCGAATGGATTTGTGTAAATTATATACACGAATAAACATAATTTTTTATTTAAGCTGAATTCATTAACTTTGTCAAACGTTAGGGGCAATTTTGATAGCCCTGAAGTCATATTGAAATTGGCCCTATATATGTTATGTAATTATAGATATTACCAACGTAGGTTTTACCGATATTGCTTATTTTAGTGGGTTTTAGAATGCCATTTTGACCTGAATGTACTCGTACTAAATTGAAGGTGAACAAACTTATGCCAATCAGAAATAAGTACAGTGGACCACAGAATAGGGCAACAAATCGATTCATTCACCATTACGTTGTTATTGGGCATAAGGTTTATCTTTAAACGAAATTATTTTAATTGTGTTAACCTTTCAGAATGACGTTATCTGTTGTTTCATTTTATCATGGAAAAGTACAACTTCATTAATCCCGAGGCAAACAAAAAAGCGGTACAAGATTTAAGGATGAAAAGGGGTTTATGAAAACGGAAAGTGCAAAGTACAATAACGTAATCATTAATTTTTGTATGAGAACTTTCATTTTAGAAAGTTTTTAGTTAAAACCCAATTTTAGTCCTTTACAAAGCATTACATCCCGAAACGTAAGCTTCACGTGCAACAATATTAATAAAAAGTATTTCAAGAGCACAGGTAGTAAAAGTAAATCGATACTCTGCGAGGTTATGTGCATATTTTACAAATTACCACAAAAGAAAATTTAAAATTTCTAAAATTAACATTTTCTGATTTTATGTTACATGGGAGTCATCTGTCTGATGATATTTTAATGAAATTTAGTCATCTACATCAAGTTAAAGGTGTAAATATTTAACAACATAGGTACTAGCGAAATTGTAGGTGAAGTAAATAGCTAATGCCTCTGTAATCTTGTTACAATTATGCAGCCATGTGAGTGATGGATCGAAACATGTACCTAATAAAGCTTTATGAAACCTTGCGCGTCTTGTGTGATGTGCTCATATTACGACTTTTCCTATTATTCAAGATGGGATTGCCTTAGCAAGAGCACATTCTGTATACTTGGGTACACTATAACAATGTTTGTGATTGTGGTACATAAAAATCCGAACCTATTATTAACTTCGGTTCCCCAACTTCATTACCAAGAGTAAATTCAGTTTCAAGTCGTTGAACGTAATCGGTCTGCCACGAATATCGTTTGATCGTTGTGCTTTATAGATGGTTGTCACTATTAAGTGTTAGAATTATTAACTTTGTGTATCTTGACGTGGAAAATTCTAATCCCACTGCGCAAAATCGACGCGCATTAAGTTTTTCGCCCAAATCCAAGATCCGAAACGTCCTCAACATATTCATTTGTGCGCCACTTCCATGTCAGAATTAACCGTGACACGAAAATTTAATTTGTGACTGCAACGAAGGTTTGCAATCACTACCACAATTCCCATCCCAAACGTACTCGTTTTGTGCGATTTGTGGCGCCAACTCTCACGTTTAGTGCTTCACTATTAATAATAATAATGGTTTATTGCCCTACAGATTACAAAATCCAATTACAGGAAAATTTAACTCAAATTAAAGCGGTGTACAGTATTTAAAGAGAATTGATATAAAAAATAATACAAATTCATAAACAAACAAAATCAAATATTAATTTCTATGATGAATATCAAAATGGTACATATTGAAACGTCTTCTATTGTTTAGACAATATCCCTGTTGTTCTGAAAGGCTAAGTAACAGTTCATAACCGCTGAATATTGGAGTAGGAAGTATAATATACAGGGTGGTAATGTTGTCTGGAACACTAAATAAATCATCGAAGCAACAGTTTTTAAAGAAGCTTTTTATGGCATCTAAAATTATAAAAAGTTTGGTACCTAACATTCTATCTATTTAAAATTGTAGTCAGTGGCGTACGTCAGAGTCAAGTTATATTACAAATTCGCAAGTGCACACCTTTTTGGATATAGAAACGTAAAAAATTAATCAATTACATAACAAAATTGAATATAAAAATTTTGTTGATGCAATTAATAAAGTTTTTTATTTTGGTTATCGATTTTGAATGACGAAAGTTTGTAGATTTGTTGCAAATTTTTAATAATTGCTGATACAATAAATTGCTTTGGTAAAACTAAGAAAAGATATAATAAAATTAATTTTAACACAACTATTTTGCTTAATTTGAGTTTTTCTATTAAATGTGAAGATGTAACATGATACTAGTATATGTATCGAAAACTAGTAGCTGCCATTAAAAAAATATGTCCTCCTTGACCATGCAGCAGTACGCCACTGACCACAAATTTAAAGTACGTATTTTAGTAGCAATCTTTATATAATTGTGGGTACCATAAAAAATTTCTTTGTAAAAATTCTAGTTTTAAAGGTATATTCCACCCTGTGTAGTAATAAAACGTATACAACAGTGTTATTATGGGTAATTTTGATTACTATTAAACTATTGAAGGAGATACAACATTTTTAGTCTGATGGTTAGAAATTAGTGCCCCAAAGAAAGTTTTTCCCTAAATTTTGCTTGTTTGCTACTAATTTTTGCGTCAACTTCTACATTTTGTGGGTGATATTAACTTTTTCCTTTTCCTTTCAAGTAAATAGGAACTGATTTTGGCCCAATTACTGGACATTTTTCCTCGATGATTACTCACGTCAGAATTCTGTGTAGATAGCTTAAGATGACCGATTAACCAATCAATCTCATTCTTTTCCTCTCATTTCCTTTGCGACGCTCCCCAATATAATGATTCTAGCGTCTCATAGGCATATATCTCTTGATGGGTCGCTGCGCCAAACGTATTTTTTGTACGGCAATTATCGCAGGTAAAGAAACCAAGTGTAACCGATGTTTTAAGATAAAACAAATATCCCCGAAGGAACATAATTTGAAGGGAAAAGCATTTTCAAAAGTGAAAGCCAAAAGAGAGAAGCGGTCATGTCACCGCACGTAAAAGGCGTAGAGAATCGTTCCATTCTCGCATTTAATTGTATGATTTATACAAGTACGTCTTTGCTGACGTCTGCGCTTAGTGATACGGCAGCGTAACAAACTTCAAAATAGATTTATCACAACGCTTCAAAGTTTACATGTCATTTACATTGTATAAAGAACGTTTGAAGTAAAAATTCCCGCGTTAAGTGACATCGTTTCCATGTAGATTGTTCACACTACCTAACTGAAAACATGTTATCAGGGTAAATAGAACAAAGTTAGACAGATCGATGTACTTAGCCATATAAGTAAACGCCGTTGTAACCGTAAACTATATCAATACCAAATCATATTCGTGAGGCTCTCTTGGACGTAATAATTCAATCTGGAAAACCAGTAACGCGGTTAACGTTTCCAGCAGAGATGCGCTGAAATACCCCGCATATAACCGAAATGAAATTATGTCATTTTCGGAGCAGACAAATTTTCATTGACCCAAGTAGCAAGTAGTTTTCTCATCTCATTTGACTGGAAAGTGTCGAAATATACGTGGGCATCGTTTAAGTTACGTTTAATAGCCGGATTATACTTCTAGCGTAAACTTTTGGGATGAAATAGAGGGGAAGAGAATCTCTGTCACTACGGTCAAGTAAAGATGCAAAGTACGGTAACCGCAATACCACCCAGAACAACAACTCTCCAACGAGATGACCGGCCGTTTGCCCGAAATGAGATCCATAACGTAGAAATGTAACCCCTGTCGTTCCATTATTTGCCACAAACGTAAGCCTTTGTGCGGAACGATGTAAGATCGCATGCCGTACTCCAGCGTATATAACTTCCAGTTACCTTATTTATGCGATATTTAGGGTACTACCCTTGCACTCCATTTTAAATTTAGTCAAATACTTTTTACATTATCGTTCACAATGCGTTTAATTTATTCGAATTGAACCCAGCTTGCATACAGTGATAGTTACAATTCAATGTCATTATTTTTAATTAATTAATTTTTAATTAAGTGTCTGCGTAACTGTTGCTTAGCCCAGCACACATT